AATGATCGCATCGTGTTTATTAGGGTAATTCAAAGGCGCGTTATCTAATGCTCGTTGCATGGCTCGGCGCATATATTTTTACCGATCATAAATAAAATAGAATACAGTGAAATGAATCAACGTGTGGAAATCACGATGACAGGAAAAACAATACAATAATACATATATTTTAAGAAAAGATTTGATATTTGACAGATATTTAGAAATACATTCCTCGTATTTATGATTGATAATATGCCAATTGCGACATTATATTCCACACTCATAATCAAAACTGTACGTACAGTACCCTAAATCTGGATTTCGTTTATAATTGATTAGAGCGTTCCTCATAGTGATAAAATCATTGCCATTTGTTTATTTAGTGTTTGTAAGGTTGGATGATATAATTATTTTTTATTTCATTCAAAGGTATGGAAGAGGCTACATTGTACAGTAAAACCTGTATAATCCGAACGCCAAGGCATTCGAAAATCCGATTTAAATGAATTTAATCATGCTTAAAAGACACATTATCATTCAGCTGAGACCATTTGGCGTTTGGCGTTTTTCTGGAAAGTTTGATATTATATTCATAACAAATCAGTGTTAAATTGGAAACATTTGAGAGCGATTTTCTAAGAAACATGTTACAAAACGCGTTCGGATTGGACGGGTCTTTAGATTAGCCAGGTGTTGATGATATCTGTTATGCAAAACGATGTTTGTTCATTGCTTATAATTTCGCTTTACATGTACCTGTCTGAAGAAACTATTTACACGTTGCTTTAATTTGTGTATATCATATGATAATTTGAATAAACTTGTTAAAATCAGTACATAATGTGTTTGAATGCGGTAGTTTTAATGGTTACAAAAGATCTCGTTGAACGAAAGAATAAAACACGCATCTAAAGGCTATCTCGAATTATTTAGTTCTTTTGGGAACACTAAACATACGCGGATCCAGAATTCTGTGTTAGAGGGGGGGGGCGTGGCGCTTAAATACTTTTATCCTAAACAAACATGCGCATGAATGAATGACCATGCATCGTGGGGCGGGGTGGGTACATCCGAAATATTTTGAAAATATAGCGCAATATTGGGGCAACCTGGGCATTTTCCCGCAATTAAAACATGAATGACCTCATGAAGAAGACTTCTGGATAAATTTCCTGAGACCTTTCCACAAAGTAAAGAAAATCAATAATTTCCGGCGCGCTGATTGGTTGTATGCAAATGAGTCAATTCAATGACGTCAATGACTGAACGTTTTGAAGAATTAGTACAGCCAGCATGAGGAATATTTTGAATAAACTACAATAAAAAGGATTCGAATTCTATTTGCCAAATGCACAAATTGTTTTTAATCAAATATGAAATATGAACGGGGCACTTTGATTCCGAACTTATGTAATTTGAGGATCGATCCTATCTCCATAATACACATTAACAAAACATTTTCAAAAGCATGCATGAATATGTTACGGTAACTTAAACCATGGAGTTTCAAGATCATGAAAGCCCATGACTAAACTAACTTTCTTTTCATTGGAACTTTTTCCAGTTGCAATTTCAGTAAAACGTACAACGGGGTTCTCGCTAAACGCAACTGGGCCTAAATAAATAACCTTCATTTCATCCTCCAAACTTGGAGAACGCCCATTGGCTATTAAAAAGATAACTTCGAAGCCAAATTTTCTATCCAAGAAGCTAGACTTAAACAATACTTAGTTATTTACCAAATAAAATTTGTTCATAGTGCATGTACGATAGCAGCGTGAAATATACATTGGAATATATCAATTCTATATTCCGATGTTTTCATGTATAATGTTTTCAAGATACGATCTTATAATATGACTTGCAGAAATTAATAGGAAGTAATCGTGTTTAGTTAATTGAATTATGGAAGTAGTGAAGTCAATGCTAAAATGAATAAGGGCAAATGTTTTTATTTTAATTTGAACAGGTCATTCATCAAATTACACTGAAGATTAACTTAAAATAGAAGATTGTCTATCTATATATTTTTATGCATGAGAGACATGTTATAATGTTGGTGAACCGCCGCTCTCCCCTAGATCCACTAGTGCTAAATTCCACTGTTGTAACAACGATGTTTTGTCGTCTCTGTGAAAGTGGATGAGCATGTACTGAAACATATGACAAATATATTTTATGTTTAAAATTTTTTCTTATGGATTGCCGTTCATGGGATTCAGTGTGCGCCCCGGGCCCCCTCCCCCAGCCATGTCCCTGCGACTACTAAGACTATTTATTAGAATGGCTGAACCATGGGAATATTTTTCTGATTTGTTCTGATAAGTATCTTGCATTGGACTTAAGCATTACGCTGATGGTATTTTAAAAGGTGTTATGAATTATGATTGTTTTTTATTTTTTATAAAGCATGTTTCAATGTTGTTGATTTGTAATATTCAATCAATTTGCAATTTTATGTTTTCTCTGATCCAATGTAGATTTGTTTAGTGTACGCGTGTATTTGTCAGTCTTCATGTCAACCAACACTTGAACTAATTAAGCAATGACATATAAAACAATATTGATTAGCCAATGTAAATAACTTAATGAATTCCCAGACTTATGCTAGACGACACGTGTCAGCACGCTTCAACCATGTCGCCTTTGTGGCAAATAACATAGTATATAAGCAGGTTAAAAAATGATCAATTCATTCGTTGCATGATTTCATCATCTCAACATGACAAAGATTACGCTGTATGCTCGCCAGAGAATTGTGAACCTGAAGAAGAGTGGCAAAAACAACACACAGATCAAGAGGATCCTGAAGGAGGACGACAATATTGTGGTAACACGTGAAGGCATCAGCAGATTTCTGAAACGTTTTCGCGCCACGGGGAGAGTAGAAGATGACCCGAGACGTAGCAAGGGGTCAAAGTTCACGCTTGAACACATGGACTTCCTTGATAAGCAAATGGAGATGGACGATGAGATGACGTCAGTGACGCTAGCAGCAAAGATGAGTGAGCGTTTCGACTTGGAGTTCTCTACGTCAAGCGTGAAGCGAATGAGACGCAAGCTAGGCTGGAGGTGTGTGGGGACCAGGTACTGCCAGATGGTCCGTGAAGCCAACAAACCAAAGAGATTGGCCTTCGCCCTGAAGATGCTTCTCACCAGAGAAAATTATCACGATGTAATTTTCACAGATGAGTCGACCATCAAGATGGAGTCTGTTGCAAGAAAGCGCTTTAGGAAAAAGGGCCGACCTGAAAAGCTTAAACCCGTGCCTAAGCATCCGTACAAAGTGCATGTGTGGGCTGGGATATCTAGGAGAGGTACTACAAGCATCAAGGTGTTTACGGGACTTATGAACAGTGATGGCTACCAGGAGATCTTGGGAGAAACATTATTGCCATTCATAGCGCAACGATTCCCGCAATCCCATAGACTATACCAGGACAATGATCCCAAGCATGTGTCCCATTCTACAACGGAGTGGATGCAGCAGAAAGGCGTGTTCCACTGGAAAAGTCCAGCAGAATCTCCCGATTGTAACCCTATCGAAATGATGTGGTCCGAGATGAAGGACCACTTGCGCCGCCATGTCAAGCCGACAACAAAGGAAGAACTTGTAGCTGGCATCTATGAGTTTTGGGAGGGTGTTTCTGTAGACAAGTGCAACAGGTACATAGACCACTTGTACAAGGTGATGCCCGACATTATCTTGCGGAAGGGAGCTGCTTCTGGTCACTAGATGTGCAGCCATCAAAGTACATGTAGATGAAACTACTATAAAAACAACAAACGGCCCTTTTTAGGGCCACCAACTCTCAAAAAGAGAATTAGGTTTATGAATACTTGTTGTCTGAGTGTGTGTGTTTGTCTGTATTGATTGATATAATTTTTGATTGTGAATGCCAACCTTGCGATATAAGATGCGAGTTGTCCACTGATTCTGAATCCCGTAATTTTTTATATTTTTAATTATGCGGAATTAAAAGTGATTTTTTCCAAACGGTTAAAAATTGCTAGGAATAAATGTTTTACGAAAGTTTTAATTACTGAGGTAATTTTTACAGCCTGAATTATCAAAAATGCATTTCGGTTTTTAAATTAACAGACATTAAAGATGCGAGAATTGTTAAACAATTGCGATTTTTTCTTTGAGTTAATGTTTTCATAGTATGTGTAGTGTGTTAGCAAAACAAGGAAGTGATCCGAGACTTTTGTCTCCGGTTGCTAATTCACGGCATACTGGCCTGGGAACTAAATGTTTGTGTTAAACCATGGACTTTCCAGAAAGTTGAAAGCCAGTTAATTTCCCGACATTGATCTTTTGAAATGCTCCCTTATTAGGGGTATCATCCTGCAAATGTATAACCCGCTACCCTAATCCCTGACAACGCATTAGCAACGAGGTGTGAATTGGATTATCTTTTTCGTGTATACAGTTTTTTAATCGAAAACAATTGTACTGCATCTGCATTCCTGATCATTACTGACAGTGACAACACACGAACACTAGCGAACACACACCCAATCCAACCAGCGAACCGCTTTAGAAAGATATATTGTAGGCTACCGTGAAGATGTCGATGTATTCGAAAACGTACAAACAAGGGGGGCTCTCTTCCAAGAGACAGCGAACATTGGCGCAAGGTAAATATAAGGATTTTACTCGGACTTGATTTATTTTAGCATAATACAGTAAGCCTATATTGAATTCACAATCAAGTAGACTGATGCCCCTAAAAAAATTGGACCCAAATTTTGAAGTCTAAAAAGGCCCAAAAAAGGCCAACTTCTGCAAAAAGGCCTATTTTTGAGGCCAACATTTTTGGGGCCCTAAATTTTTTCTGGGCCCGCCTTAGAGGGGGGAGGAGCCCCTTGCCCCCCCCCCGGATCTGCCACTGATATATGAGTTTATGATAGAAGTCCATGAAAAGTTTCAATTCAATTCTTAGGTTCTTAAAAATATTTGAATTTGCCGCCTGACGAGTGACCTCCTTGAATTAGAATCGGAAGCCCCCGTCACCCGTGAATTAAAATAATTCAACGTGAAGAAAATATCTGTCAAATATTTGCTGACTTTTATTTGTGTGAAAGAATGAGACTAAGGTGCAATAAAACATAATTCTGTGAGCCGCATCCAATGTGAATATATTAACATCATGTTGAAGGAGGTGAGTAACTCATAGATAGGCTAATTCACGATCCTTTCAAGATTAAATAGAAATTGCAATTTTTAGCCCAGAAAAGCCTGGAAAAGGAAAGCAATAGCCAATATCATATGAAATTGCACTGAGTCCACAAACAACATCACTTAACACACAGGCATCTGAACAGAGAGTTGTCCTGAAAATAAAATAGCCTCCCTCTCTATGTAGTCTACCAATTAAATAAAATAGTAGAGGGTCAGGCAGGATCAGGGCAGGATTTGCAAAGGGCTGGGGGGTCACTTTTTAAAATTAGGCCCACAGTCCAGTTATCTTGTTCCAAGTAGTCTAGTGTTGTCGCGATTAATTGATGCATCGCTAAAGGTGATTCTGGCAATATACAGTACATGTATATACAAATATCTCTTCAATTTTTTAAATTTGTCTACTTCTGTTAGATCTAATTCTTCTGGCTTCCACCATTGTCATAAATGTGAATGTGCGACAAAGTTTGACCCCCTCCAAATAAAGAAAAAAACTAATAGTGATAATGTATATTTTGTTTATATTTAGTCTAAGGGGTCGTAAAGTGCTAGCGAGGGAGATTTACAGATGTGAAACACGACTTCAATTTTAAAAGAAAAGTTGATCTTTCATGTCATGTCCTCCAGGGCTGTCAACTTGGGACCACCTAATATGAGTGACTTCAAAATGTTGGACACCTAAGTCCAAATCTGAACACTTTTGTCCAAATTTTGAACACCTTTGGCCAACTTTTAAACACCTTTGGCCAAAGTTTGAGCACCTTTGCCAAACTTTGAACACCTCAAATTTTTCGCGCTCGCTACGCTCGCGTTGTCGTCAACGGGGGGGGGGGGGGGGGGGGGGGGGTAGGTACGAAAAATTTCCAATGAACATGCGTGACACATACGGGATTCGCGTGACAAATCCGAACAAATTGCGTTCGGTTTTTCCCGGCGTTCGTATTTTTACCGTATCGTAAACATATTTCGAAAAAATTTCTACAGAAATATTTTTGCTTGACAATTACCAGGTAAAATGCGTATTTTGCGTGACATTTTCTGTCACGCAAAAAAAACTGGCGTGACTTCAAATTCTTCAGCAAATGCGTGACAAATACGCAAATTGCGGGACAGTTGACAGGCCTGTGTCCTCAAAGTAGGTTGAAGTTATCATTTGAATAACTCAAATGCGAGAAGGTAGTAGTTACCAGTTTCACCACCAGGTGGCTTGTTCGGGTCAGATAGCATGGCGGGTATAGGAGAAAGTTCCCTTTAACATCTGTTTTAGTGGTTCAATTTTCATATCACCCTCATGTATCTAATAATAATGCAAATTAAAATATGTCCAGTAAAAGAAAATGTTATCTGTCCAATACAAGAAAAGAAATTTCGCTTTTTGTGATTTGGGGAATCTCCCCGAACTAGAAGTCACATTTTCAAAAAAATTAAATTTTCAAAGTTGATAAACAATTTTCGAAACCATATTTTTAGATGTACTTTTACATGTAGATTTCTATTCGCATCTAATTAATTTGTCAGTAGTTTTCTTGATTACCTGTGTGATGATAGTACCATTTCCCCCACAAAATATTCACTGTTATAGATTGGTGAAGTTATCATGGATTCAAAGTGCAAAAATGAGGGGAAAATGTTTAAATTCTCTGTTGGGCCTGCTCGCTACTTCTGATTCTCTTTACTACAAGGTATTTCAGGTGGTAATTCTAAATGGGAGTTTTATTGGGGGAGGGGGGGGGGTATTCCAAACACTAGCATTGGAATGTACAGTGTTATTAATAATTATTTACTGGATCCCACAATAAATACACAAACATTCATTGTTAGTTGAGATTATTCTAAGATTCTGTTCAATTATATGTCTAATTTCTCTAAAGTTAGATAAAAAACAACAAATAAACAAGTAATTGTTTTCACAAGATGTTGTGATAAATGGTACACTAACTCTAAATTGAATGGCAGTAATTGCAATGTCTACCTGGTCACTGTCATCAAAGACTCAGACAGGATATGTCTGGCCATGTATGACTGTTAATCACTTAATGTTATGATAGAATTAGATTCAATAACATAGACATTACATTACATGTACACCATGTACACTTACTGATATACCAGAACATGATCAGTCCAGACTAAATAATAATAATGAGTATAATGACTTATTTCACATTCAATAAATGTTATTTAGTAGTTTTATGTTTGACATATGTACAGTTTTGAATTATGTTTAAGCATTCAGTCTTTTACCTTAGTCCAGACTGATATTTGGGTTACCCCCCCCCCCCGCCAGCATTCTGACCTAACTTCAGTCTAGAAAAATATTTGGGTTACCCTCCTCCACTAATACAATGAGTACATCAATCTAGATATCAACAGACGGCTGTTTTTTTTATTTAATTTGGGGGATTTGGTGGATTGATCAAAATCGTCATATTAAATCTCGGGCAATTTTTTGAAAAAATCCCAGGACCTTAAGTCTCATTGCAATTTCTTTCAATACTTTGATTGTAGTCCCATTTCACTACATTTCAGGTCTCACCTAAGAGTAACCTGGTCACATGAATTCCTAGCTAATCTTCAAATGTCCTTATTTTACTGATGTGTTAATCCGCCAAATTAAATTGTAGCCAAATATTACGTCATAGTGGGGAAGCACAAAGGGCAACATTGGAAAACAGATAAAATATAACAAGTCAAAAATGCATATCAAACTTTTGAACATTGATGTTCTTTATATTTCATTGAGATGAATTGTCCCAAAAAGTTTGCAAACATGTGTCCGAAAAGAATATTGAGTATATTGATTTACATTGCAGTAAGAAAGAACAAAGGGCAACATTGAAAAACTACATAAAGTTATTAGCAAGTCAAAAATGCATAGACTTCAGTCAAGAGTAATATTTGATTTAATTTACCCCCCCCCCCCCTCTGTCTGTACATCAGTAGTTGGCGTGGCCAAGGGGGGGGGGGGGTGATGGATGCGCTTGCACCCCCATAACCAATAAAAATAGAACCATTAGATAGAAAAGAGAATAAATTTATTTTTATTTGAATCTTCTAAATGTAGCTCAAATTTAAAATAAGTTGCATAAATTTTCAAAACTGAATTTTTAAGCGATCACATTTAAATTACCCTGACTGGAAACTGGTTACGTCCCTGTTATTTGCATACATTTACTTCCCCCCACCCCTCCTGCCAGTACATCAATCTAGATATAAACAGATTTTACAAATTGACTTGCATATAATTTTGAATTATGTCCAATTATTAAGTGCAGGCTAATATTTGCGTATACCTGGTGTATATCACCATGCAATCATACAATCATTTGTTATTATAGTTATGAAAACATCCTTACACCTTGAGCCCTGTATACTTTAACATGTTATAACACCCCATGTAATCCATGAACTCTAAATTGAATGTCTTATACTTCATTACTGATAATAAAACAGGTTACCTTTGTCTTGGACCAAGATAAAGTTACCTTATTCTTTTTTTGCAAAGGTGTTCATAATTTTGATTCGAATTTGGAAAGATTCATATATATTTTGGACAGGAGTCAGTAGCTCCCATAATTCTTTAATATTTTATCGTATTCATGAACATAAAACATAAAACACCAGCGAACATTCTGGGATAAATTTCAAATTGGTTATCGCACATGCCAATATGAAAGCTCATCTTTGGGAAATCTCCCCCCCCCCCCCCTGTATTTTGGACTAACTCTTAAAGGTCAGCATATTGATCTTTAAGTAAATTTTACCCCTCTTCAAAAAAGATGTAATTATATTGTTGACAGGCATTTGGAAAGCAACATCTTCAAGGAATGGTCATTCCACAATGCACTTATAACAGAGCTTGAATCCTGGGTGCACATGAGTTATCTTGTTTGAACATTTTGTATGGTAATGGACCCTTTAAAGATCTGGTATGAGAATCCTCTGAAATATGACTTCTGATGTAATGGTCAGATTTTACTACTTTCTGGTATAAAAATGGTTGTGGAAGATAATGTTACCTCACAGTTGTCCTTAATTTGAGCTTGTTTTTGTTGAAGTCTTAAATTTTGATAATTCCTCTGTCATGTCCATTTTTCATTCTTCTGCCATAAATGATAAAATTTCTAATGCATTTCGCTAATTTGATTTTTAAAGATTAATCTTCATTTCGCTAAAATTTCCCGCGCTAAAACCCCCTAAAAATTGCTAAAATTTCCCGGTGTCAAAATTACCCGTTTTACAGTATGTACATTAATTTGGCAATTATATTGTACAAATTGTTTGGTATGGGAACATATTGAAATTTGATAGATTGGTATGGGAACATACAATCTGAGAGTTCAGCCTATGTAGGACCCTTGACAACGTTTGTATACCTTTTTTCCAGGTAACTGATTGGATATTAGATAACTATTTTGTGACTGTGAAATGTTGGTTATATAATGGTTAATTGAGGTCTTGGATTGCTGTCTGCCCTTGCATAAATTCACTACTAGCTCAATTTTGAAATCATGAAGTTACATCGATTTTTGTCAAATTCAAAAGAAATCTTAATTTTTTGGCGATCATCCCCCCCCTGAGTGAAAGCTGGCTATGCCCCTGGAATTTCATTCATAATTCATTCACTATTTGTCTGATCTAATTAACATATTTAGTGGGAACTAGCCCTCTGTCTGTATTTCATGAAATATAAAGATTAACCCTAGAAGCCCTAAGGTAAAAATAGTCACATGAACACCTAAGGGGGGGTCAAAAGGGCACCCCCCTTGTAAAATTTTTATTAGTAGAGCTAGGATGTTCAAACTTTTTCCACATATACTTCATTCAATTATCTACAACTTGGTATTAAAGTTTTAACAACTACGATGATGTGAGATTGCGTAATTTTATTCTTAAGACAACACGTATGGTAGAATTAGTGCTAGCTTTTTTCTAATTTTGTCTATTGGAGCTGATGATTACATCATAATAAATAAATAACAAATTAGTAAAGCTAGGATGTTCAAACTTTTACCAAAATATACTTCATTCAATTATCTACAACTTGGTGTAATAACTTAAACAACTATGATGATGGAAGATTGTGTAATCTTATTCGAAAGATAACACGTATGGTAGAAATACTGCTAGCTTTTTCCGATTTTGTCTATTGCAGCTGATGATTACATCATAATAAATCAGTAACCCTATGTACAATTCTGCTGATTTTTTCAGAAAACATGTCTTATATCTGTAGCTTCAGCTACTAAAAATTTGAAGACCCTACCAGATGCCAATAAAAAGTTATGGGGAAAAAACTTAACAGGGGGGGTCATTTTGACCCCCCCTTAGGGCTTCTAGGGTTAACTTTCAAACATCTATTAGGTAGTGACAATCACAATTTCAGTATGAAACTAGGTAGGGATTCTGTTCGGGCCCTGACTTCTATGGATGTCTGTAGATACACTTAATTTGGCTATGGCTTTAATTTGGCGGATTGAAAAAATCCGCCAATTTTCAGATGTATTTTGGAAAATCCCCCAAATCACTGAAACTAACCTAAGATTTTGCTTATGTAGGTATTCTTATTTGGATTTTAGTGTTATACCAAGACTTACTGCAAGTTGTACACATGAATCTGAAATGCTTATTTCTAGACCAATGATAACACTTAAACTTAGTCCTAAATCCCCCAAATTAAATAGCCGTCAATATTTCAAATCGAGCAAATCCGCCTAATTAAGTAGCGTCAAATTAAGTGTATCTACAGTTTTTCACTGCTTTAAAACTCATTATGGTTGCAATAAGTTGCAATTGTAAAAATGTTGTATGTTTGAATGTGACCAGGTTTCAATGAGATATGCATGTAGATGGTTACATTAAAACACCTCTGAGTAGAACATGTGAATCATATGAATACAAATCCTTGATTACATTTGTTTCATTATAGGCCCCAGAAGATGGTCTGTTATCCACTTCAGTATTGATGATAGCCTCATGATAGTGGAAACAAAGAAGCTCATTGCAGAGGAGGGAAGCAGCATCAAAGTCGGGGGGAGAGTTAGTATTGCTAATAGATACGAAGGAGCTGTTGCTGAGCTGTTATTGCTGACAAACAGCCACTCAGAGGCGCTGACTTATCAAAACAAGAAATGCATTGGAAGTCCTACTAAATCAGGTAAGAATTAGATGATAAAATGATTGTCCCACCGAACAGGATATAAATTCAGTATATCATCTTCATTGGCAGGCTTGACTGATAAATCAAAAGTAGATTGATCCTTTTTTTTTGGGGTGCGAACTACATTACAAGCAATGTCCCTTCAATGGCTAAATGGATAGTGATTCAGTGTCGCTGTAATATATCATCTTCATTGGCGAAGGGTGCGATTCTGTTCACACTGTGTCTTGTTTTTCTTTGGGTGAGATCTACCTTACAAGCAATGTCACTTGAAAATTGTTTTATGAGTTTTTAATATCTTACTTTTGCTCAAACATTCTTCTTTTGATATTCCAGGTGATGTTGAGAAAAAAAATTCTGGTCAACCAGTCAAAGGGAAGAAAATAATGGAGAAGAAGATGGAGAAGAAGAAGAAGGAGATGGAGAAGAAGAAATTAGTTTCTGGAAAGGTATTTAATGGTTTTTATGTTTGTTAACTCTCTGCCTGTAGCCTGCTTTTCCAAGGGGACTTCACTTGCTAAAAATCTTTTATACACACAATTTCTAACAAAAATCACTCAAAAAGTCCTAAACTGGTGAAAAACTAAATGATTATTTAATGATAGTTGATGATGGGGCCATAGAACTCCACGCTTTTGTGTTTTTCACCCTGATCCCAGGAGCCATGTATGGAGATCAAGAAAACAGAATTTTTCATTGATTTTGAGATCACTCTAAAGTATAGCTTTATTATACTCAAATGGATGATTTTGTCATGTTCATGCCTTGTATTGTCTTTATGAGTTGTGCCTTTGGTATGTTGGAAATTCTGATCATGATAATTAAATTAAGTAGTAGTAGTGTTAACAGCAAAATAAAAACTTCTGCCTTTTAGGACAGATTTACCATTGTTGGTGAGAGCAAGTTGCCAGACATGGATATTGATAACATTCAACCGACCCCCCCTGGACCTGGAATTGATGATATCAATGAAGAACTACTACAAGAGATATTACAGCAGGTTGATACAGGTAAGATAATGACAATAATTACAAAACCCAGTGATCACCCCAGAATTACAGCAAGAGATTTTCAAAATAGGCTTGCACCCACCTGAGAATCCATTTGCACCCACTTGAGAAAAAATCCTGGGGAGAACACTGAAACCAATTGTTTTTATTTTTAATTTGTATTACATTGTGAACTAAGAATATTGATAAATGTCTCAATTTCAACCTTGATATTTGTCACATCATGAATCTGAAGATTTCATACTACCTTAACTGAAAATGCAAAATTAATCAAGAACCTGAGATAATTTCTACTTGCATTTCACCTATTACAGAACGTGGTAGTCATTTTGAGATCTTGATACTCATTTTCAATATAACTGCCATATTTGCTTTCGAGCTGCTGTTTAGGCGAGAAAATATTCAAAATGTCATAGTTCCATGAATAACAATTGTTCACATTTACTCTTGGCATTTCAAAGCTGTTGTATTGCTACTTGATAAAACAAAAGTTTAATGCTAACCATTTTAGTTTTCCATCATTTTAGCTAAACTATCACTGGCACTAGAGACGCAACAACAGGGCAAAACTATGTCAACTGCTGGATCTGAAGCACCACCCAGAACTCATGATTTACAAACCATTGATGGTCAAGATTTGGCAGCTGCTGGTTTGTCGATCGCTGATGAATTTACTGAGAGTAAGTCACGTAGTTATATATTATTAAAATTTTAAATATCATATTCTCTTGAATTAAATGCACAATACTCCAATAAACCCACACCCCTAATTTTCAATAAACAACTTACTGTAAATTGCTTTAATTAGACAGTCGTTTTAATTAAATCTTTGCCTTTGAAAAAATCCCCAGGACCTGAAGTCTCATTGAAAATTCTTTCAGTGTGCTGATTGTAACCCCATTTTATTACATTTTAGCTCATACACGAAAGCAAAACGCCCCTGTCTCACCCAAGAATAACCCGGCCATCTGAATTCCTAGCTAGCCCTCAAATATTTATATTTTACTGATGGGTCAATACGCCAAATTAAAGTAGCCAATATTTCAAATTTGCCCAATATGCCAAATTAAAAAGTAGCCAATATTTCAAAATTTGCCCAATCCGCCAAATAAAATAGCGCAAAATTAAAGCAATTTACAGTTTAACAGAAAACAAGGAAATAGAAATAATCATTGAGCAATAATGGGGTTAATTTATTCTTTATCAAATGAGTCATTCATGTGCACAATGTCCATATATTTCAAAAAAACACAAGGGTGTATAGCCTGAACATAGATGCTTGATATCATCTTGACTAGAGTGGTGGGTGGTGACTTACACTTTATATATTCTGTTTCTTGGGACTTGCTACTCTGTGGAGTTGCCGTTTTCTAGTTGCCTACTTGTTTAACACTTGCTTTATTATTTAGATGAACGATCAGAGACTTGTGACCAGGAGGCTGAAAAGACTGAGATGAAAGATATTGTCCTTGACAATCTAGTTAAGCTCAATCGTATTTGCAAGGGAGGTTACTCAAGTTGGCGGCACCATGAGTTTTTTCACCATAAGTCCAAAAGTAAGTAATATAGAATTTCTAATATGTACATCAGAATTTTCTCATATCATATTGAAGTCAATGTTATCCCTTCATAAAGGGCTTTTGATGGTTTATAGTGTTTTTTACTTTCATAAAGGGCTTTTGATGGTTTATAGTGTTGTTTACTTTCATAACACATAATTAATACAAAAAACAGACAAAATAATTCATGGGATAAAAGTAATGGAAATAAAGTTTTTGAAATGTTATTTTGAAAATATCAAACTGGAAGTGGTTGTAATAGAGCTGGTTTTTTATTAAATGATTAAACAATACTCTTCAAATATGAGGATAGGAATCATACTTTATGATCAGATAATGATATTAGAAGTAAATCTATCAATTTAACCTGTAACTGACTAATAAATGTCATTTGACCAATCAGCAATGATTTTATTGCATGACACATTTCTTGTAGGAGGGAATCTAAATTGGCATACACAGATTAGCCTTCTTTCTGAAGAAGAGGTGGATGATTTATTTGAGGCCCTGAATGTCTGTACAAAACCAAAAGAACTTCAAGGCCCTGGCAATATTTTTGTGGTAAGTTTTTTATCAAAACTTAGAAAAGTTACGATTTTGTTGTTAGTTTGACTGCTGGAAAGATTTCGAGTGCAAATACTAAATGCATAATTTTATAAAAAATGAAATATTTCAAAAAGTGAGCAATAAATAAATTAGTACAGTGTAGTGGATTTGTTGAAGTGAAGATTTCCAAGGTTAAAAATAAGAGAACTTACAAGAGGCCACACATCAGTGGATGACAGTTTACAAAATGTAAAAAATATACACATTTTAGGGGATATGTCAGTATGTATCAAGACAATATATGGCACTATTTGCTTTCAAACCACCATGGTTTGGAAGTGGTGATAAAAAATCCACTACTCATTTATTTATATATTACCAAGACTCCGCAGCATTGCATTTTCCAGTTGTAAACAATATGAACATTTTTCTTTTTCTTTTTTGTTTAACAGTGGCAGCAGTACAGAATGACTGTTTTGATACCAGAAATCATCCCTGATGTTTTGGAGAAAAGAAGAATCCAAAGAGAGGAAGACACAGGTAACTACCATAGTAGCTATCTAAAGGTGCTAATTATCCCAGTTGATGGCAGCTGAATTCAAAATGGCTGCATTTAGTATACCTTAGATTGCTTGCATCCAGTCTATTGTACATGTTGCTTGCTTGTTATTTTGTCACTAATATATCTGATTCTGCCTTAAGGATTACTTCTTTGGAAAACAAAATTTCTTGTATCAATTGAAAGCCAAACCATTTGAGGGATTCATTTGAAATTCTCAGGGATGTTTTTACCCATGAAAGTTTAGAGCTGATTAGTTTTTCAGCATTCTGTGTAAATGTTAAGGCAGCCATTTTGAATTTTACATCATGAGGCTTGTTTACAGGTTTCATGGATTCATTTAAAAATTTTTAGAGATGTTTCTATGGATGAAAGTTTAGAACTGATTAGTTTTTAGGCAGTCTAGGTAAATGTTAGGGTGTATTCTATTCAAGGGTGCGATTCTGTTCACCCTGTGTCTTGTTTACTTTTTGCTATTCATCTCACTTGTGTAATTCATCATTCAAAATGTTGAAAACTAATTTATCATTTTTTATTTATTTATTATAGAAATGCCAGCCATTGATGGTCCTAAAGAGAGAAAGAGCGAAAAAAGAAGGGATGTGTTTGAATTTGACGGTGAAAGTGATACTGATAGTGAAGGTAAATCTACATTATGATCTGAAAAAGTTACATGTCAAAACACAGACTATATTTTAGCTTAGAAAATGAAAGTAAAGTGAAAAAAAAATATACTGGGTGACCGAAAATGTTACTCTCTAGCCCATAACATAAACAACTATGGGACTTCGAAAACTCATATGGAGGCATGCACTGTAGCCAAACAAACTGAATTAAACAATGAATTTTCTCACCAAAAGTCACAAAGATCTCATCATATTCAAGAAAGTAATCCCAAAGCTAGTTTTTTGGATCAACCTGTACAATGATCTCTTGAAAATTCTCATCAAAAATCATGAGATGGAAATGTATCTCTTATGATTGAATACAAATATAGAAATGATTTTAAAATCAGATACTAGTATGTAAATGAGGCAGTATGTTTTTTATTAATTTTTTCTTCTATAAAACCAACTGTAATGATTAAAGTATGGCAGTAAAATTAAATAAATCATAACAAAATTGATATTCATGATATGTTTTTGCATTAAAGCAGGTCTTATGAGAGGTGAGAGGGTTGAGGAGACCGAGACAGATAGAGTAGCAATAACAGGTACTAATGTTATTCTTCTTGAATTAAAGTTGATACATTGTGATTAACACGGAAATTCAATAAAAGAATCAAGATAGCAGCAGAATTTCAAGACAGACATTTTTTATCAAAACATGTTTCAAATGGTGGGATATGCGACTCCATGGAGTTCAAATTTTAACTTTACTTTTTGTCATTCTTTGTTTACGGGATATCATTTACTCATTTAAACTATCTGGTGCATGTGCAGTTTGAAGAATTGATTGAATAATCCAAGCGTTCAGCAATTAATTTTTTGAAACTTTTTGTTTATGATTTAATATGTTCTGCTTTCAGGCACGCTCCCAACCAATGCACAACTGCCAGATGTTATTCAATCTTTAAACCTAGTCCACAAAAAACTTGACACTCTCATAAGTTTGGTGCAGCCAAGACCCCCAGTTCCTCCTAGCTCAGAAATGCCTCGTACAACCTCAAAGACATCTCCTGGATCACCTACACTTCTCAGATGCGCAGCGCCTCCTAGATCTCCATCACCACCTAGATCCACATCACCACCTAGATCCACATCACCACCTAGATCCACATCACCACCTAGATCCACATCACCACCTAGATCCACATCACCACCTAGATCCACATCACCACCTAGATCCACATCACCACCTAGATCTCCATCACCACCCAGATCCCCATCACCACCCAGATCCCCAACACCACCCAGATCTCTATCACCTTCAAGAATGAATCCAACCTCACCTTGCAGAACTTTTGATGATGCCAGAATTTGGGATTGTTCACCTGCTCAGTTACTGGAAAATAATGGACAGATCACCCTTGACCATCTCATAGAAATATCTGACAATAGTGTGCCACAACCAGCTATAAGAAATGACTATAAAATCCCAGGATCTGTATTAGCTGACAATAGAATCAAATATCCTTTACCAGAGCAAGTCCGAGATGGTGTACGATATGTATTTAACAATATTTTCACATTAGGAGAATGTAGAAACAAAAACTTTAGTGGAAAAGTCCCAAGTGGAGTTCCGCCAAAAGGAAAGATAAATACTAAAAAGGTGCAAGCCCTCACTGAGGCTATGAGCAAACAGTATGGCCATACAGCTGCTAAAAACGTCATCAAACCAGTCATAAATAGGCAACTTCGATATATTTTCGCTGAAAAATTGGACAAACTAAAGTGGTTTCAGGCAAAATAAAAGAAATATCAGAAATAAAAATCAGTGTAGCAGTTTATTGTACATATTTGTTTGAAGCAAAGTAAACGCATACTATTACAATGATTATACAGAACACTGATGTATTGTGCCTTATGATAAATCACATTGTTCTTTATTGGTTTGGACGAAATAATGGTTTGAAGCAAAGTAAAAGTCTATGTACAATATACATAATCTAAAAAATATTTTTTTTATTATTATATGACATGTACAACATTCAGGTATTAGATTACATAGAATGACAAAGTAGAGGTTTGGAGCAAACTGAAGGTCAATACAATGTACAATATACATGTATTTATATACAATAATCAAAAGATGTATTTTTTCACTATGATATCATGTACAATATTCAGGTTTATGACTAATTAAATAATATATATTGCAACACAATGCAACACATTGTGCTTTTTGGTGTAGACAAAGTAGAGGTTTGAAGCAAACTAAAAGTCAATACTTTTACAATGCAATGTACAATATACATGTATTATACAATAATCTAAAGATGTATTTTTTCACTAGATGACATCATGTACAATATGCAGGTTTATGACTCTAATTATTAAATAATATATATTGCAACACATTGTGCTTTTTGGTTGAGACAAAGTAGAGGTTTGAAGCAAACTAAAAGTCAATACTTTTACAATGCAATGTACAATATACATGTATTATACAATAATCTAAAGATGTATTTTTTCACTAGATGACATCATGTACAATATGCAGGTTTATGACTCTAATTATTAAATAATATATATCGCAACACATTGTGCTTTTTGGTTGAGACAAAGTAGAGGTTTGAAGCAAACTAAAAGTCAATACTTTTACAATGCAATGTACAATATACATGTATTATACAATAATCTAAAGATGTATTTTTTCACTAGATGATATCATGTACAATATGCAGGTATTACTCTAATAAAATAATATATATTGCAACACATTGTGCTTTTTGGTTGAGACAAAATAGAAGTTTCAAGCATAGTAAAAGCCAATACTTTAATAATGCATTTTACAATACTGTTATGTATACAAACGATTTTATTTCACTATATGATGTACAATATACAGGTATGACTCTAATGAAAGAATATACAAGTATATTAGAATACATTGTGCTTTTTTACAAGCCAAATTAAGTAGCTGCCAAATTCCCTAGTAATCCAAGTACCATGTGGATTAGTGCCATTAGTACACTCTTATAATATTGCAAGTCTGCCAAATTAAGTAGGACGGTACAGGTATGGGGCGAAATAAATTGGTTTTAAGCAAAGTAAATAACATAATTTTTTTAATGATTTCAATGCACTGATGACATTATTTAGCAAAAATATTTTTTCATAAAAATAAGTCACTGCATGTAAAATTGCCATGTAAGATTAATAAAATGTAATATATGTTGAAACTATTGATGACTTGTTATTTTTTAGTCAGTTGTCCAAGACCTTCCTACCAAGCAAAAGCATTCAACCTTGCCCCATTAGTGATCTATAATATACCAATAAGACCCAATGATTACATCCTATACATAAAATTCTTCAGACATGCCGGAGGTTGAATAGTTTAATTAGTTATAAATAAAAAAACGATTATCCTACCTTCTACCCCGAAACGTTTACAATTGAGTACAAGCATCAAAATAAAAAACGTCTGGCACGCGGCAGTGCTACGCTGCCGGTGTTAAAGAAATTATGGTCCCCTTTCTTAAAGACCCTTACTGGCCCTGATTGTGGATACGATAATAAGAGAAAGAGTTGTATTTAGGTCACCACATAAATCAATGGAGAGTAGGACCATAATTTGATAGGACCTCCTACCCTTTTACACCGGCACTAATATGCAATTTTCCAGAACAAAAAATGTAAGAACTCCCGTTTCTCATAAATGCACAATTTCATCCAGATATTAAATATTTTGTTTCAACTGAATCTCTTAACCCTTTCCCGATGTTAATGTGAGTGGAAGCTATTGGTCTGGTGATGGAAAAGTAAGAGCGTCTTTAGAGAACACCTGCAAATTACCTATACCCTGGGACTTTAATAAAGCCCACCTCACATATGAACAAATCCACTAAACGCAATCTTGCGAATAGGAATTGAGTTAAATCGTTTCCCATTATTAGCCGGAAAGATTTTCCTAGGTTCGCATGTTTACACGTACGTTCCCAATAGCCAGAATTGAAATCCAAGACTGCGTTCGGTGGATTCGTTTATGTGTGAGGGTGCCTTTAAACGTTAATATTGAATACAATTTTTAATAAAAATAATCATATTTGAACAACTTGTCAATTTTTGGTAGAAAAATAATGAATGGAACTGGAGATTCATGAAATAGTCTTCATTTTATAGATGTTTATAATAAAAAAGTAATGGTACCAAAATGAGAAAGGTTAGCCGAATCTTTTAAGGCCCTCTCACATATGAACAAATCCACCAAACGCATTCTTGTGATGTCAATTCTGGTGATAGGGAACGTTAACATGCAAACCGAAGCGCATCTTTGCGTATGCTTCCGAACCTTTCCGAAGGGATACTTCCCATATACGAACATTCAGACGATGTACAACGTACATGTACACATACTGATAGGAACGATTTTTACTCAAATCCAATTCACAAGACTGCGTTTAGTGGATTCGTTCATATCGTGAGGGGGGCTTTAAATGAGTTTCATATCGCAGACACACATCCTATAATTTAATATCTCACGTCGCTACACACGTCTTCATCTTCGTAATTTCGTTATTCAAAAAGACTTAAGAATGATTTTATGGTTAATTCGAATGTTGTTTATCTAAAGTAAAATGCATTGTCTGTTTAATTTAATTACCATCAATACGTTCTCAGGTTCTAGATAACTAACATTCCGGCTAATATTATACTAATAGAAAAATGAAAATAATAAACGAATATACAATATATGTACACCGATACAAGGTGCATCGAGGCATGGATCGACCGGCGCATAAAACGTGCCGATCGGTGCATCGATCGGTGCATCGATAAAATGCGCCGAGGTGGATCACGGCGCACCGATGTTGCAACGATCGTTGCACCGATCGGCGCGTAGG